ACATTGAGATTTTGATTAATAAACTGGGCATTTAAAAATCTGAAAACAATGGATGTCACCAGTGCTTTTTTCCCTAAAACAATGTCAAGGGCTACTCTGGTTTCCCTACTCATACTGAAATACTGCCCCTCAATGAGGACAAACGTGGACCTTAAACGCAATTTTTTTTTTAGGCGTCCTTTTGTATAATCCAATAACATAAGGGTTGGGACATGGTGGCATTAGTAATGAAGGATATGTGCTTCCAACAAAGGCATCCAACCAGGGACTATAATAATCTATAATGAAATATAAACTCTTGAATGAGATCACACTCTTCCCCCGTGGGGTTAATCATTGAAAGAAAAATGTTTGTGAGATTTCTAGGCATTTCTGCCAAGTGCGCATTAGGAAAGAGCAATGCTGACTCAAGGCGTGGAAGCCAAAAGCAAACGGTATAAATGCTCCAGACATTTCTGTCTTCCTCACCAGAGTCTTCCAGCTTCCCTTGACTTCGGTTGCTCAGCCTTTCCTGCTCTTGGTAAGTTGTCTTTAAATCAAAGCTTTCATAGGAAAAGGGCACAGAGGCATTCGGTGACTCTGGAGGAGATTCGCTAGGGATTGTGTTTTGAAAACTTAAGGAACAGCTAGAGCTATTTTTGGTCATCTGCATACTATCCCTTGCTTTTTCCTGTAGGACTTATTTCAGTCATTAACAGTCGTCAACAGGTTTACCATACCCATTGAGTCAATCACCCATCTCCTACTAACTTCATGAGAAATGTCTCCCCTATATATCTTCATTCTTCTTTGGTAATCACTCATAGCCGAGTAAGATTGTCTTCCATAAACATGGTTTTAACAATGAGTCCCTAAGTGACTGTGGAGGCCAATTCTGGATCCACACATCCTTCCACAGTGGGGACATTGGTTTCTGGGCAGGATTTGATCACGGTGTGGATTTGCCAAGGGTGCCTTCCTCATAGCACGTTTCTCCCTTGAGTCCTGACTATGAGTGTCTTCAGAGCCCATGACATCTTTGGTAAAGGCTGTTCTCCAACTGGAACACTCGCAGGCCAGTTGTCAGTGTTTATACTACATTTTTTAAATTTGCCTTTAGACAGTCTTTAAACTTCTTTTGTTGACCACCAGCATTACACATTCCATTTTTATGTTCGGAATAGAGTAGTTGCTTTGGAAGAGGATCATCAGGCATCCACATAACATGACCAGTTCAACGAAGTTGATGTTGAGGAATCATTGTTTCAACACTGGTGATCTTTGCTTCTTCCAGTATGCTGATATTAGTTCGCCTGTCTTCCCAATAAATGTGTAAAATTTTTCTGAGACACTGTTAAGGTCTGGTGACTTTTGTTTCAGAGTATCTGAAGAAGTGTGCATGCACACAAAAGCTTATACCCAGAACAAACGTAGTTGGTCTCTAAGGTGCTACTAGACATTTTTTATTTTATTTTTGAGGAGCAGGGTAATTAGAAAGTTGCAAACTTTCACATTTGCCTCATAGATTTGGTGTGAATCGCAGTGGAAACATGAAAATACTTACATAGCTGGAATAGTGTAATGGATTTGTTTTAGCCTGAGTGTATTGTCTAATCCAGGGACACAAAGTACATTATGAGGAATGAGGATTCACTCTATTCACATACTGAGGGTACTACAGTCGTACCTTGGTTTTTGAACAGCATAGTTCTCAAACGTTTTGGTTCGCGAACTCCAGAAACCCGGAAGTGACTGTTTGCGAACAATTTTTGGAAGCCGAACATCTAATGGGGCTTCTGTAGCTGCCGATCGGCTGCAGGAGCTTCCTACGTCCCATCAGAAGCCGCGCTTTGGTTTCTGAACGCTTATGAAGTTGAACGGACTTCCGGAATGGATTCTGTTCAACTTCTGAGGTACGACTGTATAGGAGAGGTTTTTTTTATCTGACTAAGCCTTTAACAAAGTAACCAAGGACCACCTAAGGTCACTCTTTGAACTTGTATACCCCCCCTCCTCAAATTTTTAGTTTTGACTCGCCCAATGCTGTTGCCATGCAGGTGTGTGAGGAACGAAGACCTCATTCTCCCCACAAAAAGGGAGGAAAAGTTGGGAGGATAAGGGGCTTTTTGGTTATTTTGTGTCTGTATATCGCCTTGCTAAAAATCTATCTGCTTGGTATATTTTACTATTTCCTGTGATGTAACTGGACACCACTTTCAGAAAAGATTGCTCATAGTATTTATTGATGCAAAATTTGTAATTAAACAGAATCCGAGTAGACATTAGTGTACACCATCTTAAAACTTTCATGTTATTTTTTCCAGATTGACACCAGTTGTTCTACGATGACTACAGCTGTAATGACACCCATTATGAAATGCAGAATGCCTGTTGAAGTAATGACGCAGGCAGACGACGGAACACTTAGGCCGATGACAATGTGGGTGGAGATGGAGATTGATGTTATGAAACCGGGAACAAACACCACTCTCCCCAACCCCAGCCCTGCCCAGATAACTCAGGCTAGCATGCTTGCTCCTTCACCAGCAATGCAGCTGCCTTCACTGATGCAACCAAATTCTTTTGCTTACAATCTCCCTTCTCATCCAGCAACAGTTCCTATACTGAGACGAAGATGAGCTTGTCTCTCTTTTGAATGGGATTGTTATCCCCCACAGGAATGGGGTGTGGGGAATGGTACCTGAAATGCACACCATGGATCAACGTCTAATGGCCATTTGTCATGGATGCTGTAGTCGAGATTCCTGCATTGCAGAGGGTTGGACTTGATGGCCCTTGTGGTCCCATCCAACTCTACAATTCTTTGATTGTATGGTGTCAGGAATGCTGAGCCTCCACCATCCAGACAAACCAGAATGGATTGGATCAAAAAGTTGCTCAGCATCTCTGACATTCTCGCCTACACATCCCTGATCAATGCTTCTTTGAGCTTTCCTTCTATCTCTCTTAAGCACATCCTTTCTGTTTCCTTTCTATCACTCATTGATGGCACTCTGAATATGCTTCAGGCCTGCAAGAGTTCTGATGCTTCCAGTTCCCTGAGAATTTCTTCCTTCCCCTGTGTACCTTTGCCTTGTATCAATTATAAATTCATCTGTCACTTTGTCATTTAACTCTTTTGTGGCTGAAAGGATTGTTGACCTATTTGAAGCCGCTCACCTAAGAAATGCTTTCATGATCTCCTCTTTCCACTACAATAAACGCTATCTATCTGCATCATAATTATATTTTTGGTTCTGTTCATTTTTCATTTCTTTTACTCATCCCTAGGTTTCACTCCTAGGCATGGGGGGGGGGACATGTCTAACTTAGATACATTATTTTCAATAGGTCTACACTGAGTAGAACTTAGCTGGCTACAGCCCTACATCTAAAAAGAACAGCCCCCATATATATTATAAAAAAGGGTCCTCACATGTACTAATATAAATCAGAAATGTAATGAACATAATGCCATAGTTAGTTATTTCAGCTGCAGCAAACACCGCTGCAATGAGTATTAGGTCGTTATGATTTTATATGTTTGGATGTGAGGGCGATCTGGCTGCAACATCCATTGTCCCATTGATCGCCAGGGTTGATTCGGCTGATCTGGCTAGCTAGGCAAGTGTCCCCTCCCTCCCTCATCAGTCCATGTGCACCCCCTTGTCAGTATGCCTTTGAGCCGATGCCAACGACTGGGCTCAACAACAGGATCTGCCCCAACTGGGCTAGGCGACTGGAGTACTTCCAGAGACCTTCCACTCCTCTAAAGCAGGTCTAAGTGCACAGGACACACAACTGTGAGTTGTGAGCACCAAACTCAGCAGAGTATAAGCAACACGGAAGAAAGCTGTGAAGCATAACTTCTTTTATTTCTAATAACTTCTGCAAGCTAAATCTGAAGCGCTACTGGCTTGAGTGAGTGTTACAGCTCTCACTCAGCCATCTAATCTCTACATAGATAACACTCAGACTCCCCACAGAGTCAGGCAGGAGAGGAAGAAGCGAAGAACAGTTTCCTCCCCCTCCTTTCTGAAAACATCATATCAGGAGATTCTCACAATGGGAAGGCGTGAAAATATCCACACACACACTCACACACAAACAAACACACCCCCCCCCCCGAAGCTGCATGTTCGGTGAAAGAAGATGGCCGTCCCAGATAGGAATGCACTGTTCTTGGGTCAAGGGTATCAAGGGGAAAGAAAGGATGCTCTCTCTGTTTCTCTCTCTCTCATGCAGACCTAGAACATGGCTAGGGAAAGATTCCATTCACCCCAGAGAAAGGGGAAAATGTCAGTTCTCTATGCGTGTGTCAGATGTACATTCCAAACCTGACAGTGTGCTTCATTCAGCCAGGAATGATTGGAAGAAGCCCAGAGAGAGTTGCACATTCTGCCTGGGGATATTGCTCTATGATCAGCGCTTTTAACTGGGTGCCTTGTGAAGTACATGACAAAGAGGAGTGATCAGCATTTCACATTTAGCCAGCCTCTCTCAGCGTCATCAGACCTTACAGTGCAACATCAGAGGGTCCTCAAACACGTATTTCAAAGATTTGCAACATGAGTGTGAAGAGGTTCTGATGTTTGCTGTCACTCCCTGCTTTGCTCAGCAGCTGAGACACCACACACAGCTGAGGAGAGGGAGCCAGAAGTGTAGTAAATAAGGATGCTGAGACTGTCCTCTGTAAGTAAGGGCAGCATTTTAGAGCATTCTGGCTGGATTCTGGCAAGAAGAACTTTTCTGGGGGGACTGTATAGGAATACAGACAAAAAACGCAGGATGGTTTAGAGATAAGTAGGGGGACATTTGTGAGGGAAAGTGGAAGAGGAGGAGGAAAAAGAGTCAACACACAAAAGGAATCTGAGTTGTGTCAGCAATGACAATGTGGATGGGAACACCACGGTATGGGGACCATCAGTACCGGAGCTAAAAACCAAGACACAGGGATTAGAGGAAGAAAAACAAAGATGGTTTAGGCAGAAGGGTTGGAATTGAAAAATTAAAGCGGAGGTGGCGGAGGCTAGTGTCCCCCAGGAAGCAGCCTGGGATGCAATTGCGGTTTTGGAAATGTGTCAGAAGGAAATGATTCTCTGCCTTAGATGAATTTCAGAAGAACCAGAGGAAGATATAAGGTCCAAATTGATTAAGGAGTTGTTTAATTAGATAGAGGTACAGGAAGAACTGATGGAAAACTCGAGTGATTCAAACTTCTGAATTAAATCAAGCTTTGCAAAGGTGAAAAAAAAGTTACCAGGATAAGAAGAAAAAGAAGAAGAGTTTGGGTTTGATATCCCATCTTTCACTCCTTTTAAGGAGTCTCAAAGCGGCTAACATTCTCCTTTCCCTTCCTCCCCCACAGCAAACGCACTGTGAGGTGAGTGGGGCTGAGAGACTTCAAAGAAGTGTGACTAGCCCAAGGTCACCCAGCAGCTGTATGTGGAGGAGCGGAGACGTGAACCCAGTTCCCCAGATTATGAGACTACCACTCTTAACCACCACACCACACCACAGGAGACTGTGTGGTAATTTTAAATTTATGCCAAATCAGAGACCAAATCATACAAACGAACTATCAGAATAGATTACAGATAGGAGAGAAAAATAAAAGTATTCTAAAAGAAATTCCTGTCCAACGTCTAAAAAAACCAAGCTAATTCCAATTTTTTGACAGATGCTCTGAGAAATAAGCAAATTCCATATAGATAGGAATTCCTGAAGGGAGTCTCTTTTACATATAAAAACAAGAAACAACAATGTAGGGATATATCTGAAGCGCAAAAATTTCAGATGAAAAATTTAATATAAGAATTAGGAGAAGGGATGCTCGTGACAGGAGCAGAAAGGGGGATAGAGGAATTACCTGAGGATAGCACTGATAAATAGGAAGAAGAGGAAGAGTAACAAACACATAATTACAGCAGGAATAAAAATAATAATTATTTTTCCTTAAATTAAACCAGAATGGCAGATTAAAAATACTAACTTGGAATGAAAATGGCTTAAATAGAAAAATACAATGTCATTACCTAACAATCACTCCCCAAGAAGAACCGTTGCACAATTGACTACATGGGGGATGATTAAGAACGGTGTGGAAATGTATTACTAACCAAAGGCTTGGCTTATGGAGATCTGGAAAAGAATGAAAGGCTTTTGGAATGACGCAGTTATAAAAAGAGAGTTGCCATGTTGGCAGGCTTTGTTGCAGGATTGATGATCAAGGGGGAGGAAGCCATGGCTTTGTTATTATATTGGACTCCTGGCAGAACCCCCTGAGAAGATCGAGAAGGGAGTGACAGGCCTGCAAAGATTAATGAGCAGACGGTAAGATTGTTTTTTCTATGGAAGTGATGAAATGCGTCTGCCATCTGAATATGACTCTTGGATGAATGGAAAAACCCACACAGGATTATAAAAATGCTTGTTTTCAACTCGCTTGTGGAGACTATCAGAGGTCACAAAGAGAAAGGAAAAATATACGAAAACAACAAGAAGAGATGAGGAAAACATCAAAGAGAGGATTGGACAGAATTGTGAACATTATTTGCACAGAACTGTCAACATCAAAGCAGCAGCAATAAGATGATCGGATCCCTTTCGGAGCTCGAAATATGGGTACCCCCAACAAAAATTTAAAATTTGGCTCTGTAATTTGGAATGAATGTGATTTGATTGGTTTGTTAATAAAAAGTATTTTTTAAAAAATAAATAAATAGAAAAATACAAGGAACGTTGCAGATGAGAATACTTATTGTTTTTTCAAAATAAAACCCCAGAAACCTTGAGATTTTGATTTTTAAAAATTGGGCATTTTGAAATCTGAAAACAATGTATGTGATCCATATTTGCATTCATGTGTATAATCAGATAACATAAGGGTTGAGACAAGGTGGCATTAGTAATTAAGGATATGTGCTTCCAACAAAGGCATCCAACCAGGGACTATAATAATCTATAGCAAAATATAAACTCTTGAATGAGATTACACTTCCCCCCCATGGGGTGAATTATTGAAAGAAAAACTGAAAGAGATTTCTAGGCATTTCGGCAGAATCCTGACGTTTGCTGTCACTCCCTGCTTTGCTCAGCAGCTGAGACACCACACACAGCTGAGGAGAGGGGGCCAGAAGTGTGGTAAATAAGGATGCTAAGACTGTCCTCTGTAAGTAAGGGCAGCATTTTAGAGCATTCTGGCTAGATCCCAGCAAGAAGACCTTTTCTGGGGGGACTGGGGCATCATGCAGGTATATAGGCAAAAAAACCAGGATGGTTTAGAGATAAGTAGGGGGACTCCTCCAACTGTCATTTCCTTATTGAGAATGCCTGCCGGAAGGAGAAAACGAGGTGCAAAGAGCCAGAAGACCATTATTGAGACTCACAATTCCTCTAAAACAAAGAATCGGCAGAGAGCCAACGCCATCTGCCCTGGCTCAGAAACAGAGCGGGTTGAGGAAACCGAGAAAACGGAGGAAATAGAACAAACAGTGAGTGACAACGTTGGGGGAACCTCACCCCCCCTTAAGGAGGATGTCAATGATCCAACCCCCCTCCTCCCAGAAAAAGCTAATCCGTCCAAGAGGGCAAGAGCAGGAGCAGGAGGGATTCCTCCCACTCCTAACGCTGACCCACCCATGCCTCTAGAACAAGATATCAGAGGAACCTGCTTTCAACCAGTTTGGGATACGCACCCCTACCAAGAGATTTGCACGTTGTCTGCAGAAACTATGGTTCTGGTTCTCCAAAGACTGGATGAAATCCTCACCAGAATAGTTAACATTGAGAAACAATTGGATACTAGTTCCTCCCCTTTAAATGCCCAAGGGCTTAAAAGGATGATAAGAAATGACTCTGTTAACAACTCACCAACTCAAACTATGGATGAAGTGAGGTCGTGTCAAGTCTTGCAAACGAACCAGATAATGCTTGAGATTCACCGATACACTCATAGGTGGATGAACCGCAGACAAATTACTATGTCCTTGTCTCAGCTCCTGAATTACCATTACCGAAATGTAGATCTAGACAATTTCCACTTCCTGCCTACCTTGAGAAACACCATGCGCCTATTTATGACCTTTAAGTCATCCACCCTCCCATCTCGACTCATGGAGATAAAGGATACCCTATGGTGGTTCCATTCTCTCCGCCCAGTGAGGGTATTTAAGGACGAAACTAGGAGGCAATTGGTCCCTTGCATAGAGTCAAAGCTAATGCGGATAAAGGAAACCAAGCTCAAAACTAGAAATACTAATTGGCCAAAGGAAGAAAAGAACTTTGTAAGCCTAGAATTACAAGACCTGAAGAAGAGGCTAATGAGTATAAAGACTGAGATTTCTACCCAAAATATAAGGACAGTAGAGCCTAGAGCACAATATTTAAAGACGTCCAACAGCTCTTTATCTCATAGAAAGACATCAGTGCAACTCCCTGTTCCCTTTTCAAACGACACCAAATTAGATGAGGAATTTGGCGCCTCCGACATTTCTATGGCAACAACACCTAAAGAACTCTATGTTGCTGACAATCTGGAGATATCCAGCACCAAATCTACATCCGGACCTTTGCCTAATGTTCCAAAAACTTATCAGAATGATCAGCCTTCTCTACTGTACTCCTGGCGAGACCGGATAGACAGATCTTCCGAATTCGAATCTGGCTCTTTGTTGGCCAGTGATCCACATTTTATAACACATACCTCATAATCACAGTTCCACAGCCACAGATAGAACCAACAATCCTCCAATTAACCCAGGAGGGAGAGGGGGATTGACAGTTAATAAAACACCATGGGACTGTCTCCCCTGCTTGGGGTGCGGTTGGT